GGGTCCAGAGGCTGAGGGAGGCCTGCCAAGCGCTGGGTGCCCGGCCCGCGGCCCCGCGGGGTTGGCTGCCTTTCCTGCTGGGCTGTCACGGTTGGGCCTTAGATCGGGCCGAGATATTCCCGACCGAGTTCCAGCAAATGACACTGGTAGAATGGAGAAGGAATGATCCCAGTGTCGTTATCTTGTTATCTTGTCTTTCAGGCCATGATGATCTCCCTGTGCTTCAAGAACGAGCGTTGCACCACATCTTTTTACAAGCTTTTGTTTTCTCTACTTTTGTTTTCTTGTTAGGGTTGGTCAAGTTTCAGCCATCCCTCTGGCCTTGGGACTCAGTGAGGAACAACTTAAGAAGCGCCTTGACAGAGATGTGTGTTTTGTATGATGTTCTTAGTATTGTCAAGGATAAGAAGTTCATGACTCTAGACCCAGTTGTGCAGGATCCTCTCCCTCCAAAGCAGGTATGTGATACCTGGGTGTGGAGTTCTTGTGGCTTGATACTGAACGTTGTGTTTCACTGGAGTTTTTCAGCTATGATACGTGCAAGATTTAGTGCAGTATTCCTTGTGATTTGCTGGTACAGTGCTTAATGGGTCCAGGGAAGGCTGAGAATGGGAGGTGAGGCTGATTTCAAAGGCTTCTGCTGAAGCTGTAAGTCAAATTGCTACTCGTGGCTGTGTGATAGTATCATGAAAGCTACTCTGAACAAATTGTGGAACATTCAGCAAAACCAAATAATCATTCATTCTCAGTTCTGCTAATAATAATTTTAGAGAATTAAAGTACAATAAGTTTTTCTCTATTGCTACTAGAATCCTCAGTTCCTGCAGCTGATTTCCAAAAAGAAGTCATTAGCTGGAGCAGCTCAAATCCTGTTAAAAGGTGCAGAAAGATTATCCAAATCCGTTGCAGAAAACCAGGAAAACAAGCGTCAAAGGGACTTCAACTCTGAACTGTTGAGACTGAGACAACACTGGAAGCTGAGAAAAGTGGGAGACAAAATTCTCGGTGATCTGAGCTACAGAAGTGCAGGTAAACAGAAGGATCTTTTGTTTTTCTCAGTAATAGGCATTTAACAGGGGTTTTTTTTGTAACTGGAAATTCAATATTTTCATCAACGACCTGGATGAGGGAACAGAGTGTGCCCGCAGCAAGTTTGCTGCTGACACTAAACTGGGAGGAGTGACTGACACACCAGAAGGCTGTGCTGCCATTCAGAGACCTGGACAGGCTGGAGAGTTGGGCGGGCAGAAACTTGATGAAATTCAACAAGGGCAAGGGTAGAGTCTTGCACCTGGGGAAGAACAACCCCATGTACCAGTACAGGTTGGGGGCTGACCTGCTGGAGCGCAGTGTAGGCGAAAACGACCTGGGGGTCCTGGTAGACAGGAGGATGACCATGAGCTAGCAATGTGCCCTTGTGGCCAAGAAGGCCAATGGCATCCTGGGGTGCATTAGAAAGGGTGTAGTTAGGAGGTCAAGAGAGGTTCTCCTCCCCCTCTATTCTGCCTTGGTGAGGCCACGTCTGGACTATTGTGTCCAGTTCTGGGCCCCTCAGTTCCAGAAGGACAGGGCGCTGCTTGAAAGAGTCCAATGCAGAGCCACAAAGATGCTGAAGGGAATGGAACATTTCCCTTATGAGGAGAGCCTGAGGGAGCTGGGTCTCTTTACCTTGGAGAGGAGGAGACTGTGGGGTGACCTCATCAATGTTTACAAATATGTTAAAGGACAAGTGTCAGGAGGATGGAGCCAGGCTTTTTTCAGTGATGTCCAGTGATGGGACAAGGGGCAGTAGGTGCAAACTGGAACATAGGAGGTTTCATGTAAACATGAGGAAAAACTTTTTTACTGTGAGAGTGACAGAGCCCTGGGACAGGCTGCCCAGAGAGGCTGTGGAGTCTCCTTTGTTGGAGACATTCAAACCCCGACTGTACACGTTCCTGTGTAATGTGCTCTGGGTGATCCTGCTCTGGCAGAGGGGTTGGACTAGATGATCTTTCGAGGTCCCTTCCAACCCCCTAGGATTCTGTGAATTACAGAGTGAAGGAGTGAATAGAGAATCTCACCAAATTTAAGATGTAGATACATAGACAGTAGGAATCTGAACTACTTATGTTTGGATCTAGTTGTCATCGTTGTCAGGTTTAGAGTTATTAATCTTTTTTTCATGAAGAAGCTGTAGACGTAACTCAGGATATGTATATTTTTAGGTGATTTGTGTTAACTAGATGAACAGTGCTGGATTGAAAGGGATGCAACTAGGACAGATGTAGACATCTGCCTTTATCAATCCCACCTGACTGACTGGCTCTGTGGCTGGTTGTTACAGACTGAACACTGTCATAGTTTTAAAACTGTGAGCTGAACATCATCAGCATTCCTTTAAATCAGTAGGGGTGTTTCATCTACTTGCTTTCAAATTTTTGGCAGTTAATTTTTTGTCTTGTTTTAACCAAATACCTTTTTTCTTCTTCCCCGTTTTAAAATACTGTTGGTTGTGTCGCATAACTATTAAATACTATTTGCTAGCTTACTGTAAAATACTACACATCACACACAGGAGGACTGAGATGCTGATGTGATTAAATGAGCTTTCTAATTTACCTGGGTATTTTTAATGAATTAATTAAGAAATTTGAGTCAAGTGCAGCTATGGAGGTTTGGAGACTTAGAAATACATATTCCAAAATGGAGATACGAGCTTCATTGTTTGCTGAAGATACTTTATAGTATGTATGTCTTTGTAATTCCTTTCTTAGGTTCCCTTTTTCTTCATCATGGCACATTTGAGGTGATAAAGAACACTGACATTGACTTGGATAAAAAGATACCTGAAGATTACTGTCCTTTGGATGTTCAAATTCCAAGTGATTTAGAAGGATCAGCCTATATAAAGGTTTGCCAGAGAAATTTTATTAATAAAGCATAGATTTTGTTTTCTTATTTCCATGCTTGCAGCAAAGAACAATCATCAAATAATGTTCTCTTTTGCCTAGGTTTCTATTCAAAAACAAGCTCCAGACATTGGTGACCTTGGGACGGTCAATCTTTTTAAAAGACCCATGCCAAAATCAAAACCAGGTATAGCAAACTGTGTGCTGTTTTCTGAGCGCATTCTCAAGAAATGCGTTTGAGTCTGGTGTTTATTTGTAGATTCTAGCTTGAGAGTGGAGTGAACAAGAATATTCTCAGTTAAATTGAAATTTTCTATGCAGGTGCTGCTTGGGCTTTGGGAAGACAATACTTTCAAAGTGTCCTCCATCAGTTTTTCATGCATTTACTCAATTTCTGAAATAAAATTACTAGGATTTTATTTTAGGTATTGTGGAACACCTTCTGTTAATTATGAAGAGTTTGAAAAGCAAACCAAGGTACTGTGGCTCAGCTGGACTAAAAGTCTGTTCAGTCTTAACTTTGTCCAAAATGCCTGATCTGCTTCTGTAGCTCGTATGTTTTCTCAGACTCTGAAAGCTGAGCTTTAGTACCAACAGCTGCCTGGCAAGTGGGAGCTTGATTGGTTTGATGTGTGACAGGATGGGAAGGAGTACATCCTTGGAAATAAAAAGTCATCCTTAACTCTTTGGGTTTAAAAAGAACTGACAGGATTTTCTTTCACAGTGATCTGAAACACAGAAGCTTGTGCTGTCTTAAATATAGACAGGATGTTGTGTTAAATAGATGCTTCATATGGTATTCAGGATACACTATAGAGCTTGTGTACTTGATCAGAACTTTGGGCCTATAAATGCTGTGAAACCACGTACATGAATTTAACATCACTTGGTGGTTGGTTGTGGGGTGAATTCAATACAGCTAGAAGTATCACTGGAAGTAAATTGCAACTGACGAAGCAGAGGGTCGTAAGCACAATTGACAAAAGGCCTGAGAATGTAATAGGCAGTTCCAGAAAGGAGGTGCAGTTCACAATATAAATACATATAAAAGCAAAGTAAG